ATTGTTTTCTTGATTCTTTACAATAAAGATCAAGATTTGATGTGAAAACTCTTAATTAGTGTGTACTGGGACAAAGTTTCAAAACAGCTTTACATCACAAACAATGCTTTCTGTCTTTTTATTCTGCTTTTTTATGATAAAATTTCTGTCATTTTCTGCTTTTTGGACTTCAAAATGTGGCAACACTGGTAAGCCGGCACATGAATCAGCGCCGACCCCGGCAGCCCTGACTCTGCTTAAAAAAGTTTCAGGCTTCGGCGGCGACGTGGCTAAATCGCTTGTATGTTGTAGACGGTGGCGGTGGTGATGGTTCAGCTGATCGTTTTAGACCTTTACATAGATCTGTCCTTCTGCAATGATGACCAATTTTAGCAGGGTTTTCAATATAGTATTGTTCTTTCCTTCAGATTATGTTTAATATTGATTCTTTTAGTACTTTATAAAGATCTCGAATTGTGAAAGTGTCAAATTTATTAGTACCGCTTATTCTGATAAGGAAATATTCATGACAACAAAGTTAACTTTTTTAATATTGATATATATAAGGATAGAAGATACTGGACAATCTGAAGATGAAAGTACGGAGTTTTTTTGAAGATCTCACTAAAATACTCATCGCTCAAGAATGAAGAAACCTTGGTCATGAATCCTTTTACAGTTTCCGTGGTATCTTTAGGAACCTATCTAGTGAAATATGGCTCATCTAAAAAACGATTTATCACTTGATGACGTCCTCTTGATAAATGTACTTTTTTTCTCCGAATCCAAGAAATCGTCACTAGAATATACCATTAACAATGTAAACATCAAATCAAACTATATTTTACTGGTTCGATTCATTTTTAATCTCTATAACAATGTCAAACTCAATTGACTATTAATAAAACATTTACGCAGTCCGCAAGAAAATTTTCTCCACTTTCTATTTCCACTAGATAAGCACAAACGACAAAAAAATGCTTTTCTCCTACGACAACAGTTAATCACATCCTGACATATGACCTTTACATATATACGATTTATTTCCTCTGAATATATACTACATCACATTATATTGACGATTGTCACATATTCTATAAAGAAAATTCTTGAAAAAAATAATTTACCTGCATTCCAATAACAGCATAGATAAAGAACAGCATTGCAATAAGTAGAGCAACATAAGGTAAAGCCTGAAAACAAAATTTTATATGCCGAAAGAAACAAAAACATATAAAAACCATAAAAACCTACTTGAAATGATTTTATAAATGTCCAAAGTAATGTTCGAATACCTTCTCCTCGACTTAATACTTTCACCAAACGCATAACACGAAATAGACGAAAAAAATTAATACTGATTACATTTGTACCAGGCTATAAAAAAAGCAAAAAAAAAAATAAAAAACAAAATGAACAAATATTTTTAAAATTATCAATTAATTAAATGACATTTGATAAAACTGTTTTTTTTTTTAAATATAAAAACATGAATTTCATGTATCTATATATATATATATAGACAATAACAGAACAACATTATTCAAATACCTGATGTGATTTCCAAACTCGCTAATGAATAAAAAAAGAAAAAACAAAACAAGACATGCAAGAATAAATAGAAGCATTTTTGTGATCGAAATTAGTGAAGTATTTTAATTTTGAAATTTTTCTATACATATAAAACTTACCGCTATGATATCAGTATAAATAATATCAATTACACTACCAACAACAATAATAAAATCACAACAATTTGATGGATCACTAAAATAATTCTACAAAACGAAAGAAAGAAATTTTTTTATTTTTTATTTTTTTTGTTTTTCCTTTACCTTAACATGAAATGCAGCCATTTTAAGAACAAATTCTAAACCGAATATAGCTGTAAATACAATATTTAAATAATCTAATGCTTTAGAATAACTATCAGGTTGTTTATGATACTAAAAGAAAAGAAATTTCTCATCAAATCTTAATAATAATAATAAAAAAGACATACTTTCATAGCAAGGACAACTGTATTAATCATAATTAAGGAAAAAATAGCATATTCAAATGGAGGAGATGTAACAAACCACCAGATTTTTAATTGACTCTTTTTCACAGGTATATAACGTTTTATTGGTTTAGCTTTTAGAGCGAATTCAATGCATTTGCGCTAAAAAAGAAATAAGAATATAAATGTCTGTACATTACAACATTTAATTAATACAAAATACTCTGTTTGAAACAAAAGACTACATTATACAGGGCTGGCCCGAGTCAGTAAACATTGGGGGGGTTGTCACGATTTTTTCGGGGGTTGTTTCGGGTATTTTTAATGCGAATAAAACTTTTTTCTAACACTACTCACGAAAAAAAATTCATTTTTGCTGAGTAAAAACGAAAATTTTCGATTATTGGGGGGTTGTCACAACCCCCAAAACCCCCTATCGGGCCAGCCCTGACATTATATAAACAATAACAGATAAACATCTGAAAATTCTTCTACAAGTAGTCTACAATTAATGTAGATCAGTAGTAATATCATCGTCAAAATCATTCAAGCGAGAATAAAGTTATCAGAGGTAACGTCAATAATCATTGTGTGAATTTTGTCATTCGAAAGCAAATGAACTTGTTTAGTAGTTCAATATCATATTTTTCGACGTGTATTATAGCTATTTCTAATATGAATTTTTATTGAAGTTCATCAAACTATTTGACGAACGAGATTATTTTTTGCTGAAAACAGGTATGTGCAAAAAAAAAATCCTAGAATGCAATTGAATAGTCAATAACAGAGCAATAGTTTGATGGATCAATCTGAAATTGTCAGAAGCAAGTGCATTATTAAACGAGAATGGCGTATTGAAGATCAAGGTAAATTTGTGAAGATTCTAAAGTCTTCATTACTCAAGCAAATGATACCAACAATTTTGAGAAATGAAGAATCATCAGTTCGTGCTGAAAGATCGATAATTATTTTATATATTACCTTAAAACCAAATCATTAGTCATTAAATCTGTTTTTTTTCTGTTATTTGTGGCAAATGGAGCAATCGTCTTTATTCGTCAAGATTTCACTGAAAAAAATCGTTTTCGGACAATTCGAAATTCTTAGTAAAAAAATAAAACCTAGTTGCCTCTCTATCGAAACAAGCAGTATTAGGACTTAAACTGCTGATAATTATATTAAAACCTGTACCAGATAATTTAATGCACGCACATTTCTAGTTACTATCTTCTAAGATCTTAAAAAACATAATCTTTCTATAATATAACACCAGTGAACCATTAGGCTAATCAATGAAGAGATTGTTCCCGTTCATAGAGAAATGACTTACCCCACATAAAGTCAAATATATCAAGGAGAATTAAAAAAAACTTGTCATTGTGACCCCTTCTGGGGTCAAAATGTGAAACTCACGAACTCTTGCTGTTATCAATTTTTAACTTTGTCAGAGTATTTAAAATAATTTATTTTTAAAAGATGTCAAATAAATGAATAATTCAAAATCATAATCGTTTTCATTATTGATAGGCGCACTCTGAAATTTTGTCATTTCAAAAATTTGCACATTTATTATTATTTTTCTACCAATGTATTTAATTAATTCGATATTATGATATTGTAAAAACTTATTTGTATTATCAAAGATATTTTTAATCCATAGCTTATTTCTCGTCATGGTAACATATCTACAATATATATCATAGAAAGTGGCAAATATTATTCTACCCTTCGTTTCATTGATTCAAACACATACCGCTGAGTTTTTGCCTGAAATTAGAATACAATCAGTTCAGATTTTTTATGTCTGTCCGAATCAGACTCTACTAGATTAAAAAGACGACCGCTCTATTGGTTAAAACCTACTATTTACACTAAACACTTAGAATCTACAAAGTTTCAGAATGGTCTAAGCACTAATATTATTTCTTACGCGCCATTTCTCATTGCTATGGAAACATATGCAATACATTTTGGCTTCATCTTGCTACGGTTACTAGGGGTCTGTAATGGAGAGGGGGGAGGACAGCCGCAAAACTTCGACTTAAAACTTACATGCACTCTATTTTCTTCGAAAAATATATGTGAGTTCCATAAAAAAGAATTTAAACATTATCTATGAATCAATATTCAATGAACTATTTTTCTTTTTTGACTTCTACTTATTGAAATAGTTGAATGAATTTTCTTTGAATAATTTATATTTCTGCTAGAACTTCACCTTACGATGAAAAAGTAATATGTGTTTGATATCTTCTCAAGTCTTATGATTACGAAAATAAAAATGATTTCTTTGATCATAAAAAAAAAAAAACAGCATAAATTTCTACC